TTTTTCTAATTGTCTGTAACAATTTTATATATCAAAATTTCCCAGCTTCCTTGTTTGTTATTCAGTGAAATGAAGATGTCCTATGCCCATTCTTAAGCCAAATCAATCAAGAAGGTTTACACCTATCCCTGAGCAGATTGAGGAACTTGAAACACACAGGCCAAAGAGGCTGAAAGGAATGAGTTGTTACTTGCAATTACTTTTTGTTCCTGTGATAGAAGTTTAAAAAGTGATTCTCAAATCCCAAGAAAACCATTCCTGCTTTTACGTGTGCTGGTGTACAAGTTGAACTCTTTAAAGATAGTTTTATATTAAGAAAAAAAATGCAGATGTGTGCATGTATGGTAACTGTTGAGTCTGCCTGAACCACTGATTGAGGATCTGGGAAAAGGACCCGGTCAGCCCTGGGAGCACAGCTGAAGGCAATTCAGCTGTGTGAGCAGAAGGGGTGCAGCCTGGCTGCACCTCTCAGATGTCATTTAAGGGCTGACTGCCACTAGGGAAGGCTATCTGGTTAGAGATCTCTCCCTTGTGAACCTAGATCTTCAGAGACAGGTGAGCGCTTCTCCTTTGTAACACCTTTCCATCACAGTAGTCCTTTTATTGTTACCCCACCTGTATTGCTATTCCACTGCACTGATCTTTCTGGTTGATATAGTGAATAATAGTTTGGGAGAAATTAGAAGAGCGATCTTTTCACTGCCCAAGCAGCAATTAGCTCAGTGTTTGTCAGTGCTGGGTTTTAAGATGAATAAAGAAAATCCATGTTTTCCAGGTGTGGCTGAACCTAACAATTCACCTACTAACAGAAGTACTTGAGCAGGAAATATTTCTGTTTATCTGTTGCACTAACTCCTGGCAGTCTCTTCAGATTAGCATCTTTCACTTGAGGGAAGCACCACATCATACTTGTGCAGGCGCTTGGCCTCTCATTGCAGCTCAGTGCTCACTAGAACTATGGTGATGGTCAGCCTTACCTATAAGCAGTGTTCCTGTCAGGTCCTGGTTTTATTGTAATTGAGTACCTACAGTGAAAACTTGCAAGCCATACCCTCTGCTAGCATAAATCAGCATCATTTCCCTGACCTCAGTGGGGTCCTAGTGATTTACACCAGCCGAAACAAGCTGTAGCCATTACTCCTCCCTACCCCTGCATTTATATCAGTTGAGAAGCTGCATACCTCCACCCCAACTATTCCCACTCCTATCAAAGGAAGCCTTGTCATTCTCTGATCCACTTTCCACAAAATAACAGATGTTTCCCATGCTCCAGGCATGTGCCTTTCCTGCTTAGGTCTGCAAATCTTCCCAGCTGAAGATGATGACTCTTTGCCACACACAGCTGAGTTCATATATTTCCACTCTCCCTGTGAAGAATCATTTGTTCACCTGAGCATTTTGCTTAGCCTACATGATCTCGTTATCACGTCCAACTGATTAATTGTGCTACACTGATAGTAATCTGCCAACATGTGCTGTGCTGAACAAAGTTTCGTTTGTTAAAACTTGTAGCTGATAGAGCAGTGAGGACACTCATTGTTCATAAAGTGAGATAAATGCAAAGAATGGAAGAACTAGGTGATAATTTATTTATAGATCTCTGCAGAAACACTGAAGTTAGCAAGTATACCATCTGTTAAATAGTCACACTATTCCTAAGTGCATATTAGCAATCTAAGTGTGTGCCAAACACCTGATCTTAGCTATCTTTTGATAGTCTTTTTGACAAGCAGCATTATGCTTTATTAGGTTATGTCATGTTACGTTATAGAGCTATGCTAGGTAACAGTAACAGGGAGGATGGGGTGGTTGAGCACTGTTGGTGTAAGCATGCACTTGGGGCAAAGAGGTGGTTTTGGGAAGCAGCCAGATATTCAGAATAACAAGAGCAAATGCAAATATTGCATTTTTATTCATCTTCAAGTTCTTTTCTTTGCTTAGCATACTTTAGGCTGCTACTAATCATTGCAAATATACGCAAAGAGGGGAGAATAGATGCAAAAATCTTCTGAGCAAAAAGACCGCTTCCAGCCAAAATAAATGTTTTTCCTGATGGTCTGCCTCATTCCTGGTTGTCATCCTGGGCTACGTATTGAAGACGGACAATTCTGTAATTCATTACTGAGAACTTTCTGAATGAGGTGTTGCAGTATTTTATGGGAGATGGAGCCTGCCTGGAAAGATGGTCCCTTAAAGATGAAGAATGAAAGAAGAATGACTCCTATAATGAGTCATTTTTACTTTTCTTTGTGTTTGTTTTGCTCTTTATTTTATATGCAATGATTCTTTATTAGACAGACATTGATTATTGTGTACAATTATCTACTAAAAATGACCTGAGGTAGAGGAAGAAAAGGATAATTTCTGTTTAGATTTATTACAAGTCTGGGAGTGAGAGCTGCTTGCAGTGTGATAAGTCCAGAGCCAAGCACTGGAATGGATCATCTAAAGGAAATGTCTGTCTCTAGGAGTCTAATAAGTTAGATAATTATCTGTTTGGATGGATATATGTGTACTCAAACCTGTGATAGACATGATGAGTAGATTAAATGATCACTAGTGTGTCCCCATAGCATTTTTTTATACCTGCCATTCACTATTGACCAGAAGAGGACAAAAATCTCTCCAGCAGCAGGAAAAGATGGGCTGCTGTGTATAACCAAAGTATAAGCATGCAATGGAAGTGGCAGTGCTCTTGCATGCAGAATTGGGTGCTTCAGAGATTAAAAAGACAAAGTCAAATTTTTCACCACATGTAATCTGAATTAGTCCTGCTAATTATAAAGTAAGACAGCCTGTGAGCCATCTAGTACTTCTACTGTTTCAATGCTTAAACAGGAATACTTGCCATTATCTTAATGGGTGAACACGGACAGGTGACAGTTTCTTAAATGGGTAAAATGATACCTTGACATATTGTGTCATTAAACTAAGAATTGCTACTAGCAATTTATTACTTTCCAGAAACTATGCCAGTTTCAGACTAAAGTATCCCATAGTTAATTCTGAACTGTCATGAAAACCTTTTGTTAACTGCAGCACCGGACTTCCTTTTTCATTCTTTCTTTCCCAGTAAAATCTTGTTCTCAGCAGAAAGGTAGATCTGATTAACCGTAATGAACACCACTGGTTGTGCTATGTATATTTGTCATACGAGTGCAGAGATTTGCAATTATTTTTAATCTGTTTTTCTGTAGGAACTGCACAACATGTTACATTAGCAAATCAAGGAAAGGAATGTGATAGGAGTGGGAGATGCAACTGTTTTCACTGCTAGCATCTGAATGTTCTGACTTTTCCCCATCTTTTTCCTAACTCCTATAACACATATGGAGCTGACTTCTCTTCCCACAGCACACGTGCCTTGGGCAGTTCCCATCAGGTCCAGGGACCAATATTTGTTCCAGTCTTTTCCTTCTCAGAAATAATTTAACCCACAGGAAGGAAAAGGAAAAAAAAAAAAAAAAAAAAAAATGATCAGTTTTCTCAGAGTGAATTTTCAGAACAGGTAAATAAATCAATCCACACATTCAGAGGTTGGGTAAGCGAATTTTAGATACAAATCAAAACTCTTACGAAGGCATGCTATTGTTTTCTTTCCCAATTAGTATTAAAGAGAGGCAGAAAAATGTTTATAGTTTCACTCCATTCATCTCTCTCTTTTTTGGTGTCCCTCTGGACTGCAAGGCGAGTCTAGCTGGCAGGCAATTAAAAGAACATCAGAGTTTAGAACACTTTCCTGTGTATTGGCAGGTACCATCTATTGTGGCTATGACTGTGAGGAGGTGCCACCACTGCCTAATTCAATTCAGTCACCTCCAAGTAGACAATGTCTTCATAGGAGATGAATATATAGGAGATGAAGAGGAGAAAAAGAAAAATTTACTCTGTAAGGTTCAGCTAAGGGAGAGAATTGATATATTGACATAAATAGTTGAGGCTGTACAGGTAGTAATCATGATGGCTTTGACCAATGAGAACTGTTTCTTTCTATTGAGCTCCAGATCAGGTAGTTGTTCAGCTGATGAAAAATGGAACAATTGTTTGAAACAAGAACCTGCGGCACACCACATTGACTTAAGATTTAAGGGGAAGCTGCTGCTGTTTATTTTATTAAAACATTTTGAAGTGCTCTGACAAAAGTAGTAAGTCAGCTCATCAGGGTGAGAACTGGATCAAAAAGTAATCTGTTTTTAAAGAACATCTGTTACATCATGTCCTGAAACTGAACTGTTCTTTTAAAAAGAATGAGACTGAGAGACTTCCACATTTGGGAAATGGGAGAAAGTAGAAAATACTGTATTAGATTAGTAAAAATAATGTAAAAATTGATAAGCAGACATGAAAATCACCCATGGGAGTCCAGGCATCAGTGCTTTTGCACCAACTTCCCTGGGGCATCGTGTGATTTCTATTTTTTTTTTCTTATTGCAAGAGTTCTTATCCTCCCCTTTGAAACCAGTGCTAAGGTTCATTCAAGTCAATTAAAAACATGCCCACTTACCACAGACAGTTTTAGGAAAGAATGTGCTCATTGAAAATATGGCATACTTTTGTCACTTAAACACACACTCTAGGGGAGTTCTGATGAGGTTTAATTATCATTTCTACTTATAGAAACACACACCTGTGTTTAATTGATATAAAAAAGGAAACCTAAAACGTTTTTCTCCTATTCGTGCAGATTAAGACAAATAAATTCTGATGTGTCACTAGAAAAACTCACAGAATACACTAGCTTTACAAAGAGGAATTTTAATTAATGTAGAAATCACTTGTTAAGGTTTAAGTGCTCCATAAATAACCATTTTATGGTTGCTGAAGGACCAGGTAGGTGGATGGATGAGCTATTTGTCCATACAGTGCTTCAGTTCACATAGTGAGATTTTATACCACTGAAATATATATTCTTGAGTTATCTATAAGCACTGCATGCTTTGGAATCTAACTCGGAATAAATCTGACTATAACACGGTTTTGTTTTCTCTTTCTCTCTTCAGATCTTGAGAACTTTGAAATGAAAACAAGAAGCACAGTGTCAGTCAGAGAAGGACAAGGAGTGGTTCTGCTCTGTGGTCCTCCACCACATCACGGAGGTACGTGGAGTAGCTCTGAGTCGGGTGCAGCCCAAAGAATGGATTTGGGCTGTTCTGTTACTACTGCTGCTATTGCTCTGGATAAAGTAGAGTTCTGGGGATGTGCAGTGAGCTAACAGTGCCTTTCACTGTAATGTTTCTGATTTCTTTAATGTAAGCTATCCTTAAACAAGGGACACGTTATTTGTACCCCCTTCTATATAGCTACAATCCACCTACAACATGAGTGTTTTCAGTGCAATACAAAGGCTTGAGCATGTATGTGGACTATTGTTGGAGCAGTACCATTTCTCATTAACCCCACTTTTTGCATCTGATAGAAGCAAGAAGCTCTTGAGACCTATTTTTTGAGATTTTTTTCTTTTTTTTTTTTTCCCAGCACTGACTTTTGCAAGTTCTGAGCCACCTGCATTTTCAAATCCTATTTTGGAGGTGCTAGAACTAACATTGTAACTGCTCCTCTTGTGAGGTTCAGAGCAATGACTATGGTTTTCTCACATAACCAGCTGAAGATGATTAGAAATCTTGTCCTGGAAAAATAGATGCACATTAAAGAGGTGTAAATCATCAACAGTACGGTTACTGGATTGAGGGAATCAGCAGTTCTTATAGCACTCACATAACCACACACCCAAAGGAGGAGCATGCTGTGAGCCAGCACCAACGTCCTGCTCTCAGTACTGTTTTCTCAATCCTTCTTAAGAAATAGCTGTTCCCATAAGAAGAAGGTAAACTGTGATCTATAAGGAGGATGCAGTATATCAAAGTAGTAGAGAAACCCATCAGTCAATTTAAAACCCACAAGTCTTGGACGGAAAGGAAACATCAGTTCACTTAGTGCTTGCAGCTGTATGAAAGAGGTATGTAATCAAGGAGATGAAGTGAAATGTGGCCCTTAAGGGCAGAGAAAGCTTCAAAGAGTTCCTGAAATGTATCAGTGGGACAAAGACAATACATCCATCCATGAGCCAGTAAGCTGTATGTCTTCTTCCTGCTGATAGGTAAAATTATGATTTGGCAAAGCAAGAATGAGTATGTCAATAGTAAGTGAGCTTACTTCAGGTTAATTGCATGAAAAAAAACCCAGCACCCTGTCCATAAACAACACCTCTGTCACCAGGTTGAAGCTAGAGGTGGGATCTGTTGACCAACAGACTAAAATAAATAGAACAATAATTTAAACAACAATTACACACCCCAGCTCTTACTTCCTGCACACCTCCCCCTCTTGCCTATTTATGCACCTGCTGCTCTTCAGCCTCAGCTGTTGTTATTTATGATGCTCATTAACGCACCTTATGAAGTTCAGCATCTGACCCTTCTCTGCTTGTTAGTGAGGCTCTAGGGTGTAAGGGTGGGGAGGCAAGCTGTATTTCTCTCTTTGGGGCACATCTATTCTACAGCTACAGTTCTTTAGGTCAGCAATTCTTTTTTTTTCTGTATCATCAACATATGCTGTTTCTTTATTACAAGAAAGAGAGAAACATCTTGTATAGAGTTAAGTGTTGAAAACCGTCTATGAGGGAGGAAGAAAGCCTGAAGAACTTTTCAGTTCTGTAGCTGAGTGTGAGCCTGACCTGCCTGTGATTAAGGAGTTGTTCCCTGAGTGGTAATACTTGACACAGAACTATGGGCTGGGCTGTTTCTTCATTTATTTTGTTAGAGGTGAAGTGTGATATAAGGCTTGTTTCCTCCAAGCTGGATCCCTGCAGAGCCTTAAGAAAGTTGCTAATCTTGTTAGAAGCAGCAGGATCACTTGTGCATTTGCATTTACTCATGCATGAGGGCTGCTGGGGCTCGAAGCTGGGATGCTGACTCAGTGGGCTTTTTCTGTACTGCTGTAACAACAGCAGAGCTGGATTAAAAAAACCAAAAAGGCTCTTAAAGAAGTGAGAGCTCTGAAGCCTGCTCAGTAGAGACAAATGTTGAGTCCTCAGCTGGCAGAAGGGCATAGGGGACAGAGGAGTGGGTATGTGGAGATGAGATGAGCAGTGCTTTTCTGTGTAAAAGGCTCTTTGACTGCTTCCTCATGTTGTTTCTGCATTTTGTATTAAACAACCATCTGATAACATGCATAATTTCCAAGTGATGGATTGATGTGTATCTCCCTTTACAAAGCTGAGTGCCTTAATCACTGCTTTAGAGCAGCTTTCCCTCTGCTCCTGTTTCTGAGCTCTCCTATGAATCTTTAATCCTTCCCTGAGACCATCCTGTGCTCTCCTCCTGCAGAACCAGCAATATTGATCTGAATTTGCTCGGGCTGAGAAGGAGAGCTCTGAAATGTTATATTCCCCAGACTGATAAATCAGAGATGGTTATCAGCTGCCCCCCTTCCCAGCTGTGCCCTGAGCTGGCAGTGCTCCCTCCTGGTGCCAGCAGCTGAGCTGGGCTCACTGCTTAGGGTCTGGGTGAGGAGCGAGAGAAACCCTGCACAGTCACCTGTCTTGGATAAAGATCCGAACAATTAGGGTTGCAGCACTAATAAAAAAGCCTATGAGCTGGCGTGTGCATAATGAAGTCTATGTTGCTGTAATTATCCCTTCGCTGCCACACGGCCTCTTTGAAGTAAATGCAGTTCTGTGCACTCAAGGCACCTTCTTCCCACAGAGTCAATAATGGCACCAGGATTACTTTAGAGAGCAAATATCATTTTCCAGTGTTCAGAGCTCAAACATGTTAATTTGGGTTAAGTCCAATCAGCTGCACAAGAGAAAAAGGAGCTGTAGTGCGGTATTTATTAGGCAGTAGCTGGGCAGAATTAAGAAATTAATTACATGAAGGTGATTGATGTTTTCTAAGCTTGTCTGTGAGACCAACACAAGTGTTAAATTAAAAAGTTGAGGATAGAAATGATATAAATTTTACTTTATTCTCTCTTCTGTTGCAGGATTTAGTTCAGAAAAACTCCGACTTGTACAGTGCTATGAATGTTGTATTCTGTCATTATTTGTAGGAAGTGGAGTCATTTCTGGGCATAAGGCTGTCGTAAGGTTAGCAGAGTTCTTTTCCAACACAGGAGGAGATCATACTCATTTTTTCTGACTTTAGAACAAGTCTGACATTACTGTATGTGATTTCCTTCAGAAATTAAAACAAAAGCTGTGATCAACTTCTGCTGTTTTGGCCCTTACCTAAAGCACTACTGAACAGAGACTGCCCAAACCTTCTTCAGCTTGTTTCTCTCTGCACATGGTGACAGAGTGCTTAGGGAAACATTTGTTGATTTTTAGGCACAAGCAATTCCAGGATGCAGCGAAAACCAGGAGAAATAGTGTTTCCCTGTTGGCATCATCTAACCCATGTTCCATGTTTTGGAAGTCATGTATTCACTTCAGGATAGCGAAAGGCATTTCTAAAGATGCTGTTATAAGTAGATAGGTAAAGGATAAATGATGTCATATTGGCTAGCTTTCATAGAATGGCCTGGGTTGAAAAGGACCACAATGATTAATCTGTGATATTTATTTTATTTACCCAAAAAAGTCTTGAACACAGCAAGAGTCTTTATAAACCATTTGTCTGGTCATAGAATGGCCTGGGTTGAAAAGGATCACAGTTCCAACCCCCTGCTGTGTGCAGGTCGCCAACCAGCAGCCCAGGCTGCCCAGAGCCACATCCAGCCTGGCCTTGAATGCCTGCAGGGATGGGGATCCACAACCTCCTTGGGCAACCTGTTCCATTGTCTCACCAACCTCTGTGTGGGAAAAACTTCCTCCTAATATCCAACCTAAACCTCCTCTGTCTCAGTTTAAAACCATTCCCCCTTGGGGCACAGGTGGGTGTTTATGCAGTCTTTGCATGTGAGGAAAGGACTAGTTAGTTGCAAGGTCCTGGGATTTCCTGGTTTTTGTGAAGTGGAGGAATCAACCTCATAGACTGTGGAAGGAGCTAACCGTATGCAGAGGCCTCCAGAAGATGTCTCTTCCCTGGCCTTTTTTCTCCTTTCTGTTCATTCACATAGTTTACTTTTCTAAAGCATCACAGGTTAACCACAGTGAAAAGAGAATTAAGAAAAAGTGGACTAATTGGTCTCTGGCAGAAAGCCTTCTGCTCCCTTACTTTGAAGCATGTTGATTTGTTTTCAACATCATATAAGTAGTCAACCTAGAGGGAAAGTGACAGATATACAAGGCTCTGTGCAAGGGGAAAATGAATTGGGTACAAAAAAATAATTGGTACTGATAATGGCGAAGGCTTGTGTAAGACTCTTACTGAAGCCTTTTCATAGCAGCCTCTGAAATTCAACAGCTCTGGGTTTGTGTTGGGGATGTGAACCCAGCAGCTCTTATTTTCAGAAATTCTATGGCTAAATGGAAAGCAAAATAAACTTTAGAAAGGTAACTTCTTTTTCCTCACTAAAATAGCTGGTGGCAGCAATTTTCAAGTCTATTTTAGCTAGACTTCATTAGCAAGTTACTATTTTTTTTTCCTTACATAATTTCCCTTCTATGTCTCTGCTACCTTCTGTTCGCCATTACTTTCACCAGAGCCTTCCCAGCTGCTGATTTACTCATGTAAATGAGTGTAACCCAAAAGTGATGGCATGGGCCTTGTACCAGAGCCATTAAATGAGGAAAAAGAAAGGAGCACAAATCCAAGTGCTGTTCCAAGTGACCCAAAATGGAGACATTTAAGTAAAAGTAACTCCTTCTTTAATGTAATATTACATTTTCTAGTCTATTAAATCTATTAATATTTTTTGCTTATCATAGCTTTCTGTGAAAAGATGCTGTGTGAGGGAGTATCCTGCTGGGGCTATGCTTTAGAAGGGGGAAAAAAGTTTGATCTATGAAGTTTGGATCTTTTTCTTGGGATTTCATTCAGCTCCCACTGAAGTCAATTAAAATTAGAGCTTCTACAGAGTTTAATGGATCTGAATTAGGCTCTAGGCAAGTAAGGTCTGGGAGCTGGTGATGATGAGCCTGCAGTGAGGAGAGTGGCAATGTTTATATGCCTGGTTCTGGGGAGAGGAGGAATTAAAATATGAAAAGAAGAGGCCTGAACTCATTCCTGGTTCATGGGAGTATTAATAGGCAATGAGGCAATGGTTCAGTACAGACAGAATGTAATGGAGATTGCAAGATCATCAGGTGCTGTGCTGAAATCATAAGAGATGAGAACTGGCTGTTGTACCTACTGAAATGTAGATTGAACAAGCTCTGTGCAGCATAAAGCTAATTTTTAATAGATTTTCATTAAGGTTTGTATACCTTGTTGAGCATGGAGAAGCTTGCTGCACCTCTGGGTGGTGCAGGAGCCACCAGCAGGGTTTGGATGGTGTGCCATAAGATGACCTAGAAGTTCTTCATGGTGCCTTGTCCATGGGTCAAGGCTTTCATCAGCCCTGTAACTGTGCCAGCACTGGAACTGGAGTCTAGGAAGTGAACCATCAAACCTATTTTTCATATTTAACTCACTTTTGGTTTACTTGTGTTGTTATGGAAAGCCTGATGGATGTCCAGCTATGCTGTTCAATCACGTACACACAAGTATTACACTGCTTTAGGACCTGTTGCATCTTCTGGGCTTACCATATGTCAATAATAATAATAATAAAAAATGGATACTGTAATAAAACAGAGCCTATTACAGAATTTAGCCAAGGATAGAAAGTGTCATTGATTGCTCCCTGGAGACGTGTCATTTCTAATGAGAGTTCTAAAATGTTAGAAGATGATAACATAAAGCTCCACAAAACTACTGGAGTTTGCAGACTTATTATCATCCTATACCTATGCTGCAACTGAGGGAGGGGAAAGAAATGTAAATAATCTTTTTGAAATGCTATATTTGATGGGGGAAATGTGCAAAATGAAGCTGTTGGCAGAGCACTGTTAGCTTATGAATTATACATTTAATTAGAGGGAGCTAAACTGGTACATTTTGGAAGTTCTGATTTACTGGGCCTTGTTAATGACAGAATTTCTGTCCTGCTGCTGCCACTGCAGAGCTGAATACTGCAGCCCAGTATTGGGCATGGAGTGGGCAGGAAACTTCTGGCATTGATGGAAACACGGGGTTGGAATAACAGGGTCTTTGGATGGCAAGCTCATAGAGCTCTGTCCTGCTGGTCAAATAAATTAGTTTTAAAGTGGCTAGGCTATGGATGTACCTTTTTACAGTGTGAAATGCTATGGAAGAAGGCAGCAGAATAGGGTTAGGAAGTCAGAACAGAACAAGAAGTAGGGAGCAGTTGCAAGTATGGGAGATAAAGAAAGAAACAGAGAAGGAGTGATGTGTAGATATTAATCTCCCAGATGTTTGGATGCAGCAGAGTTCTTTCCCTCAATGAAAATCTAATGATGTCTTGTTACCTGTTTCCTTTCTCCACGTGTGGAGTGGAGAAAGGAGCAGTAGTGCTGCATGATCAGCAATTGGCTCTCAGTATTGAGAGGCAAGTTGCAATAGATAGGAATTATTTACTAAGCCAGCTTTCTCATGGCATTGCAGCACTGCCATTTCTACCTAAAAATAGGCTGAAACAGGAAAAAAAAAAGCAGCAAGGGACAGAAACTTCTGTGACCTTCTCAAGTGGCTTGAAGTAAGTTAGAACTGAAGCAGTGCTTATCCTGCCTGTGCTAATTTGTGCATCCCCAGTGGTCTGCCCTGTAACTGGCTCGTTCTTTCAACCAGCAAAAGCATTAAGAAGAAGCAAGCAAATCTGAGGATGCATGATGTATGTTGCTCTTTTCTAGGCTTGTCTTTTGCATGGACCTTCAACAATAACACCTTATACATTCAGGAGGACAGACGGCGTTTTGTTTCACAAGAAACGGGAAATCTGTACATTGCCAAAGTAGAGCCATGGGATGTGGGCAATTACACCTGTGTGGTGACCAACTCCAAGGCTGGGCAGAGTGTTCAGGGGCCACCCACTCCCCTCACCCTGCGCAGTGATGGTAAGCTCTCTTGGCACACTCAGTATGAGGTATAGCTCAACCATCAGATCTAGAAAGCTGTTCTGAGTGAGTTCCTGAGGTGAGAGACTCACCTGCACAGATATACAAATACCTTTCCAGCCATGCCTCTAAATAAATGTTTGCATGGAGAAGTGCATACCTGGGAGATCTCTACTCAAAGTTGGTTTTGTAAGTTTGCTCACCTACATTTCAGTGTATCTGTGCTGCTTGCAAAGCCGCAGTGACGAGTTGTTACCAAAGTCTGTACAGTGTTATATTTCTGGTATAAATAAAACTCAACTGTACATTATTGCATAATACTCTCACTGAGAGACTATGCTGCTCTATAACATTCCATCTGAACATGCTAAATGAAGTTATAATTCCCAAAATCGAAAGTTAATAATTTGGTACTGCATGTAAATGCTTTAGATCTTTTATGCCTATTTTCTTCCTTCTCATCATAGTGCTTTATTCCTTTTCTCGGTCTCATCAGTCTCTTAATCTTCTCCTATTCTCTTTGGTAGCCTCTGGATTGAGTCCTAAGCAGGCAGTCTCAAGGGAACTGTACAAAATAGCACGTGGAGCATTAGCTGGGCCCCCGTTCAATGTAAAATAAGAACCAATTCATTTTTCTGTGTGAGATCTGGGCTAAGGCTCTATCTGAGGGAGACTGATTTTCATCATTCCTGATTCAGTGAGTTGTACTGAAAGATTAATGCATTTTTTTTTAAGAATTTCAGCAAAGAATTCAGTTTTTCTAAAGCAATCCCAAACCTGCTGCAAGGTCAAATGCCCTTAAACTGATACTGGATTATCTGGTTTATCAGATACTTGATGAGATTTGGGGATGTGATTACTATATCCAATTACATCAGCCTTTCTTAAGCTTAGAGTTCACATCTGGTTATTTCTAAGATGCTTTAAGTGTTTTGTAATTAGTTTGGACATGGAACCCCTTAATTTTCTCTTGTGTTCAAAACTACCTGGTGTCCTTAGAAGTGGCAGCTTAGTGACGAATGTCATAGCCATTGCTTATTAGCAGCTAACGAGAGGTGTGAACCTTGAATTCTCCCTAAAATCCTAATGCACGTAGGTACTGTGCTTGCACATGCTTCACCATTCACATGTAAAGAATTTGCACATTTCACATTAAGCTTTTCAGCATAGGTTTGGATTTCACCCAGATAATCAAAACCAGTCTTCAGACATCACATGTGGATGTCCATGGGTGGAGCATAAGGCTCTAACACTATTAATGCCATCCTTTCTTTTACACTGAAATTCTGTTGTGCTAGACAGGTCTGAAGCTCAACTGGAGTGCTAGCTGTTTTGATGTTCAACAGGTGTGATGGGAGAGTATGAACCAAAGATTGAAGCACGTTTTCCAGAAACAACATACGCAGCAAAGGGCTCGTCTGTTAAACTGGAATGTTTTGCCCTTGGAAAGTAAGATTCCTGTTTTTTATTTACTGTGGTTTCTAACATAGTTGTACAGGGAGAAATTGTTCCTTTGTAAGTGGCGTAGCAAATTTTTTGTCAGAACATGAAAATGTAAATCTTTTTTTTAACCTTATCTTGGTTTGTTTCTGTGCAATGTGTTCCCAAGACTTTCTGGAATGGGTCCCACATGGCTCTCATCACCCTTTTCTCCAAAGAGATGCTGAGGAGCCTTGGGAAGCTACAATCTAGCATGCATTGTGCCTGAGCTCCTCACATGGCTGTTCTTTGCAGAAGCAGTAGAGTGCTCAAATGAAAAGAGATGCTCTGTATTCTGAGAGCAGATGGTTAACTGAATATGTAACTCGCCTTTCCAGTGTGTCCCTTTTTCCATGGAAGAGCTAAAATAACCTTAAATTGTCAACCTCTAGCTTAAGTTTTATTTGACAATCCTTTTTAAGGCTTTTAAAGTGTTTAGAGCTTTTCCAGAGGTTAAGAGCCTAACTTGCAAGCAGGGCAAATTAATCAAAAGTTCCTGTGGAACCTATGCTGAGAAGTAGAAAAATAAAGCAAATAAAGCTAGTAAGATGAGGTATGGCCTTGCCTTACAGATAAGGTTTTTATAGAAATGAAAATTAGCCCCAAGTTAGTTGGACAAAAAATATTTCTGCAGTCATATTCAAAAGCATATGAATTTCTTGGCCCTAAACAAGTCCCAGACTGGAACGTTCCTGCTAAATCTGGTTTTCCTTTCCAAACAATCAAGTTACTTCTCTTTAAATACCTCTTTAATTCAGTGTGAGTCAGTGTAGGCTTTACACCACAAGTTGTCACTATAGATTTCCATCTGTTGCACGGGAAGCATTTAGCAGTGGTATATTGACTACACAAAAGCATTTCAAAACCAGAAAATAATACGTACGAAACAGAGCCTTCCCAATGAAGGGATAAAGACAGGTCATGTTAGCTTTGTTGTTTTAACAACGTTATAAGTATGGGGCAATGTGTTCTGCAAGGAACATATGGATAATGAAGTATCTCAGCCAACACATCACCTCCTGTCTGTGTAGGTGCACCACACCTGCTGTATGTAAGGAAAGGCTCTTGCTACAGTGCTGCAGAATTTCTCCTTTCCAGCCTTTCGTAGCAGGTTAGATGTCTCCAGTTTTTCATCTGAGTATTTTCTCTGAACAGAGCTTTGAAGTACATTTTCAGTCAGTGGGGGAAAAAGCATTATTTCGGAGCTGAAATTTGTATGTGAATAAAGCAAGAAAAACAGATTACAGGTGAAATACTCTTAACTCATTAGTGAGGCCAGCTTTTTACAGGTATGTAGGTAATTAGCGGTGGTGTTCAATCTCTAAGCTTCCTACCTCCAGCTGTTAGCAATTGTAGTCAGGCACTCACAAGTGCAGCGATGCGGTCATCTGCACCTTTACATGCCTCAATTCCACCAAAACTCTAGCCTCTACTATTGTCTGTTTATGTTAAAATCAATTCAGCTCAGCATTTGTTGAACTATACCTCTGATCTGCCACAAGCTCTAACGGTTATTATCTCTCTTGGATTTCAGAACTGCTTTCCCATTATCCATAATTTTCTATATTCATACTGTTAGTCCACTGGTTCAGACAAAGCTGTCAGCTGCTGCTGCCTCGCACTTTGAATAACAGAAATCTTTCACATCTAAGGCAGATTATAGGCAACCTGCTGCGGTTTTGGTCTCCAAAAGTCTTAAATGAAAGTATTTTCACGGTATTTAGAGAAATAGCATCTCTTTTCTATATGGAACAGCAAATCATACCTCTTGGATGTTGCTTAAAAAGCACTTCTGCATTTAAAAGACAAGTAGAGGAGGCCAGACCGAAGGCTGAGTTTTATGCCCTTTTTACTTGAGGGAGCTCCAAGTCAACCAACTAAGCGCAATCAGACCATAGGATGCCTAGAGGTAGTGCATTCCATGCACCTTTTGAGGGTGCTTCTGGGGAGATCAACACTTACTGCACCCCACTGGCACGAAGCGTTTGTGGTCCTCCCCATTGCAATCTGTTGCAACGCTCCGTTCATGCATTTTGCATGGAAACGTGCATGTCACACAGCCCTTGCCTGCTTGATGACAATAAATATAGGGAGGCCAAAGAGATGCTGTTTATTCCTGGAGAGACGGCTTGGAGGAATGGATCTCAAATGGACAAAACGCTTGGGCAAGCTCTTGTAGTACAGAGCACCAGGAATAGCAGCTTTTGAGAAGTAAGTTATTCCTCAGTGTGATGCTATGTGGCTGCACAAAAGGAGTGTGAGTAGCATGCATCTCTGTGGTGACTGGCATGGAGAATTCAAACTGAACACAAATGCATATTATAGCTTAATTCTTTGAAGAGAGAAAACTGAAATATGAAATACTAATGTGACCATCTCAGATGCTGCAGCCTGTGGCAATTTATTAGAAGAGATGAGACTTTGTGTTCTGCAATAAGATTCATTATGTTGACAGTGTTTAATACTATGCCAATATTAAAAGTCATGTTTTGGATCAAGCTATATTAATCATGCCATATATCTAAATTATGGCTCACTGTCTGAGTGGACTGAGTGCCATGGAAGGAGTTGCTCACAGATTAGCTCAACTGACTTACTGTGCTTTTCTATAGATTTCTTTTCAAGTAACTTTTTTCTCATGTACTAATAGAAACAGTTTCAGTGTTGGGTGTGCACAGTTATTAAATTGTGCCCGCATTTAATTTGTTAAAATAAGGAGATAATTTGTTCAGAATCCTTGCAAATGGGTCACTGGTAGCATTGGTAGAGGTTGTAGAAAGCATATTGAATAATACAAAACAGGATTTCTTTTAACCCAAAATACTCTTATTTTTTTCTTTCCGGGGAAGATGCTACATGTTCCTATCGTTTACATATTCAGAGCTGAGCTTTTCTTGAGGCTGTTGGTACAAGCATACAATGCAGCCACAAGTGGGTTCCAAATAACCATCTTTACTAAATTGACATCACAACTCCAGGCTTCACTTTTAAAAACATCTTTAAGAATTTATGCAAGAGGCTGTAGAAGGATCAAGCACAGAATTCTAAAAACCATATATCATGTAAATCAGTTTTTCTACTACAAGTGAAGTTTGTTACTTTCAGCCTGCATTCCTGACAGAACAAATACCAGAGAATTTGTATCTTAAGGGATGAGCAGGCAGCTCTGCAAGAGCCAATATCACAGGAGTTAATGTGAATGGCCTGTGACCACAGGAGAAGGAAAGATGATATCAGATTTCAGAGAATGTGAATTCTTTGTTATTTCTGGAGAAATACATCGAGTCACATAGAAGCATTTGTTTAACAAGGCATTGTCTTCATTATTGGAACTGAAGATTTCATTGTTGAAGCCAGTTGGTGCCTTGCCTGGGGCAGGGGGCTGGAACTTGATGATCCTTGGGGTCCCTTCCAACCCAAACCATTCTGTGATTTAATACTTTTGTGAAGTGCCCTCAGATTCACAAGGCTAAAGCTGTGGCCAGGTGCCATGCATCAAATGGCTGCTGAGCCTCTGCCACAGGGAGAGTGGGATGATCCTCTTGGTGTAGGGTGTAATGCTACGGAGGGATTAATCTGGTGTTCAGTATGACAAGACTTGTCTCTAACCAAAAAATATTTTCCATCTCCTTTTCTTTCAAAGTAAGTAACGTATGCTTTTGTGATCCTGCTGTCTGTATGGTAGAGTATAAATTAAATTAGTAGCTGAGCTCAGTACTCTTGGATGCTCTGAAGACTTCAAATATACTATAGATTTATGTACAGAGACACTCTCATATTTATGCACTGTTTTCTTATTTACTCAGGTGAAAGCAAGACTTGCCTGTGAAGTGTAATAAATAAGTACACTCATTGTTTCTGTACACATTCAAAAACTTCCTAACCCCAAGCAATTACATTCTCCATCTAATGTGGTTGTTAGTAACCACTACCAAAAGCAGACACCTCAAATCTGTATGGAAAAGTACCAGTCTATGTTGGAGTCAGATAATGACCTTCAATAGAGTGGTTATGAGAAGTACAATCATAAAATGCCTTGGGTTGGAAGAGACCTAAAATATCATCTAGTTCTAACCTCCATGCATCATCCTGCAGAAGCTCACAAGGGTGTATTTCTGAAGCTAGGCAAAATCATTGAAGTAAATTCTACATTCGTTCTTTTTAAAGCCATTCAGATTTTCTCAGCTTGAAAGGTTTCAAACACCCTGTAATACCAGTGCTGATATATATATATTTAAATAAAGTATATACTAACTTTGGAAGAAGGTGAAACCGCCCCAAACCCTGCCTTTTGCAAAACAGTGATTACAGCTCCTGGAAACCTTAAGTTGAGGAGGGAGGTACTGCAGAGGCAACGGAGAAATGCAGACCTCCTCCAGCCCCATGGTACCAAAGGCCCAGCCATGGCTCCTCCTGCAGCTGCTTGCTGAAGCTTCAGGTTGGTGAGGGGCTGCTCTCCTGACAAATGTATTCCTTATTCTGACAAAACTAGGCAGCTCAGCACACGCTTTCCCAGAAGAACAAAGTACACTTAAGTATTTATTGCAATTGTGCATTTAAAGACAGTGAAGTTGCTAGCCCAAACTCGGTTTTCTATGTCATCCTGCTGCAGCTGGCATCAGAGGCAGCCTCGTTAGGAAGGATGGGGCTGACAAGGAGGAGAGTTTGTCTTGAAACATCCCCAAGGATGTCATTATAAGTATCTGGTGTGGAGAAGGAAAACAGGACAACATTTTCAGTGCCAGCTTTGGTAAACTTGAGTTGACAAGTTGATGGAGGCACCTTTTTCCACAGAGTCCTGCCTCTGGCCTTAGTGTCAGTGCAGGCTTCCCTTCATTCATAGTCATGCTATGGAAAATAAACTCATAGAATAGGAAATACTTGGATGAAGGATTTTCAGATAGCAGGATATAAATGAATGTCTAATTGCTTTTTCTGCTTTTCATAAACATTAGCTTCTTTTAATCTGGAAAAAAATTATGGGGGAGAAAAAGAGATCTAGAAGAGGTGCCTTTAAAGTAAGCAGTTAAATGCTTCTGGCATTTAGAGTACTGCAAGATTCCATTATACAGCAGCTATTCACCCATTATTTAATATACAATAGTGCTTTAAAGCCAACAGTGCTCTCCTTCATGTTGTCATTGGTCATGTCAGTCCATCACGAGGCTGCAGAGTACCTCTGGCTGTTTTCCTGGCTTGGTCATGGCAGCAGCCTGTTCTGCACAAGAATTTTCTTTTAAATGACTAAAAAAAAAATTCTGTTTAGAGAAATTTTGCATGAGAACTATCACACAAAGGTTGGTGGGGGAGATGCTACTTTCTACCACACTGGCTAGTGTGTTTGACAGTCAGTCCCCTCAGAGTTTCTAGTAGGGAATAATGCTAAGCAAATTTGCATTTGGTAAGGGCTCTAGTCTCAAAGCACAGGAGCTAGACCTGAGTTTACAGCGTTAAGTACTTTTTCCATTATTTATTGGTGACTTGATTTCCTTGGTCAATAAAAAAGAGTTTGAGCCAGGGACCTAAATAATTCAAAATATGAGCAGTTATGGTCTCTGTTGAAAATGCTTTGTACATCAGTGCTGCAGGCCAGAGACCTTAGGGACTGAGGTGAGGGCAGCGTGAGCTTCTGATTTCTATGGATGTCATGCTTTAAAGTTCAGCACCAAATTTTTGTAGTTGATGTTACTTCCAATGGAATAGATGGCAGTCTTAATCAAAACCACTGTAAGAAGCCATTCAAAATGTCACTGCTCGTTTGCTTAGAAAAAAGCAGCTTACTTTGGTTTGCTGTAACAGAAGGCAACTGTGAAATCCAACGCTATTAATATTTCAAAGCGATCTGGTGACATAATAGATCATGATAGCAAGGCTTGTATGGTCTATGGTATTACCAGGAATCCAAGAATTATTTGTAGCCTTCTTTACACCTGTCTATCTTTATCATATAGAATACATTGATCTAAATGTAAATGAAAATGAAAACATGAAACAAGAAATATTCTCTTTAGTCTCTATCTCCTTTCAGCTTCTCGTGCTTTCCACTTCCTTGCTTAGCTGTCTTCCTGCTCTCCTCTACTTCAGATCCCATTTTTTATACCTAGATTTATTGTTCTTTTTAGCTTCTTTGAATTCTTGTGCAATGTTTCCTATTTTGAGGAGTGAAAATACCTCTATTGCCAGAGGGAATTTGTTTTCTCCCAAACAAGTCAATTATTCTGTGTTTCTGTGGTGTTTTTTTGGACCTCTAGAATTGTCCCTTCACTGAACTCTCACAGTTACTGTGGGGAAAATAAAAATTGGCTTTACAAGCAATCATTGAGGGCTTCACACCACAGTTAGGCTTGTGCTCCTAAATTGGTTGGGTGAGTTATAAAAACTCAATCTTATGAACCTCTGCAAATCACTCTTAGAAACTGAAATGATTTCTTTTTTGAAATATGATTCTACAAAGGGATTTCACGTTATCTTTTCTTCTGTAACAAATGCTCACTCTTTCTCTAACAAATATAATTATTTAGTCCGATCCCTAGTATCAGCTGGAGGAGGTCTGATGGAAGCTCACTGACAAAGAAAATCAAACACGACAAAAACAAAGGAGTTATTGAAATCCCAGATGTTCAGCAAGAAGATGAAGGCTCTTATGAGTGCATTGCAGAAAACATTCGAGGCAGAAACATTGCAAGAGGTCAATTATTTGTCTATGGTAAGCAGATTGATTAATTTCTTCTTCCTCTTTTTTTTTTTTTTGTTTTTCTCTACAGGGCCTGATAACATTCAGATGTATTTTGTAGATGAAGTCTATTAGCCCCTTACTGGAGATATGAAATGTAGTTCAGGTTAAGCTGATTAAAAAATGATTGCAGGTCTGCAGTGACCTTCACTGAATTATATCCTCAGCAAATAAAGATATTTTGCATTAAAACTCAGATTGAAAATGTGGGCTGTGCCATGATGAAGTTGTAAAGGTTAATACAAAGCAGAAAAAAAAAATCCCTGGTACATTTACATGAAACATTAAGGGCAGGCAAAAAGATTTACTCTCAGTAGCTCACAGCAGCAGAAAACTGTGCTGTCCCTGATGCAGATTAGGGAAGGATTCATGAGATTTTGGTTCATACGAGTTCTAGCTGAACAATGTTTCTCCAGAAACAGATGAGGGCAAGGCAGGGGAAACTCATCTTGTTGCCTCCCTCTCATTCCTCCTTGTGTAAAAGCAGGCAATAATATTTCTGTGAAACTGTTCTCCCATTTCCCTTCCCATCCTACGCATTCATTTCCTGTGGTCCAAGTTATGCATGATGTTCCACTGTAGCCAAAGCAAATTATATACTCTTTAGTCCCGTTATTAATACTCAGGGAAAAAAAGCAATGTTTGTGCGTGAGTAAGAGATATGGAGGTCTTTTCCTTACCTTATGGGTCTTTGAAAATAAGAGAAAAACTAAAACTTCTTAATAAAAAAGGAATTACAGAAAAGCCAGACTATGTGACTACAATTAATATCTGGTGAGAAGACCTTGGTGAAAAAAGCAATGCAAGCTTTGCTAATAAGCTACCACTCCTGCTGCTGTGGCTAATATCAAGATCTATGCTGGGAATAGAGCAGTCTGCTGCTGCTTTGAATATTTAATTATTTCTTTGCTTTTTAAGGGGTTATTTTTGCACACGTTGCTCACTAATTTTCACAGAATGTCAAAGAATTCCAGTAAAATTAAGTTCACTAAACTACCTGGATGTGACTGATAACAATATAGGCAACTAGAAAATTTTAATCAGTTATTACAATTTGAAAGAATATACTCATTAATTGTGCTTTGTAAATTAATGGCTGTTCATAGTAAATATGTAAACAGGAAGTGTGAAGAATTTGCACAAGAATTTTTATTGTATTAGGAGTGCACTTGCATATTATCTACATAATTGATTTCCTCTTAATGTTCTGCTGTGTTTTACTCAGTCTCATCTTTAGGAAATAGGGTTTCTTTGTTGGGCACTGGATGCTGCTTTGTGAATGGCTGTGAGTGCATGTGTCTTAGGCTCTGAGAACAATAAAAACAACATGTAATTAGAGTAACTTTGGAGCATGGAGAGGTCTGTCTTTAGTAGACTTTCATGCCCTGTGAAATGTTGGCATTGTAGTAGCGTCAGGGTGATTCGTTGGGGCACAGCCATGGGCTATCCCCGTAGGGTTGTGCTATGGAGGTAGGTTTAGTTACTGATTATTTTTTAGAAACTTGTTCTGCTCATCTTAAAAGATAACAAATCTCTTCCTGAAATGAAATTACTGTATATAAGAAATTGGAGCATACGCACACACAAAGTCTGCAGATTTATGACTTAACCTAGCCAAAAATCTTTCATGGGATGCTGAGACATCAGCCACTCACCTGAAACACAGGGGGATGCAATGTAGAACCACACTTGCCAGCAGCTTTGGTGTATCTCAGAGCCTGCTGGGCATTGGTCATTCTCCCTGGCTCTCATATCCACCAATATATTTACAACTATTTTGTATGTCAGCCTTGTGCTAACTCCTCCTCAGCTCCATCCTTCTGTGTTTATTTGGATGTTTACAGAGCTTCTTTGTGATTTTTGCATATTCTGTTTGCTTGTTTGTTTGTTTTTATAAAGTAATATCTTTATGTCAGTGCATCACAAGTGTTCAGAAGCAGTTTTGAATAACCCTAATTCCTTTGTACAGTTTCTGTTGTAAGTTATATCTGACAAACCTACAATGTAGGTTCTTCATCTCAGGTATGTGTGTAAAACACAGTGGGTAGCACTTACATCTGTGAATTTGATTAGCTACTGACTCATAGTTTGGATTTTTCTACTTTTGGTACATAGATTATAGAACCTGGAGAGGAGTGCCCAGACTTCTGGGTATCTAAAATAACCATTTCTGCAAATTTTGGCCATAAAAACCAATGTCTAAACTGAATCTCTTGGCCACTTAATTTCTAACATCTTCCCAGGTTAATCCTGAAGTTCAGTGACAGGAAATCTGTTGTGCAGAATTTACTTGTAAGGCAATGTGAATGTTTTGGTCAAATACTAATTAGCTTAGCTCGGTTCATTAATTAACAGCAGCATATTTCCAGCAAAATCATTTTTTCTCCTGCTTAAAATGGTTGGCATGTTCTTTTCAGAACTCCCTGAATGGGATAAAAAAATCGAAAGTGCCTTTCTGTCTCTCTATGACAGTTTGTTTTGGGAATGTAAGGCAAAAGGAAACCCAACCCCTTCCTACAGCTGGTTAAAAAATGGACAGCCTCTCATGTCAGAGGTAAGGTTTTGTCTTTTTAACTTCTTCTCTTGTTTTTGCAGGGTTTAGTTATGACCTTCATTGTAAAATATGTTACTAGTTTCATAAATGTAATAAGTTTCAGAAATGATAATTAGTGTATCATCATAAACTTTGCAACATAAAGCCTCAGTTCTTTGAGTTCATATATATTGAAAATGTCAGTTATAATTTATCTTGCAAAGCATGTGAGTGCTACAAGATATGACACTAAGTATAGATGGGTTAATAAATCACCATTATAACTGGTGAAATAAGGGTCTGCCCATAAATAGTGAATGCATGTGTAGGCCACGTGTAATTTGGGAAGCCTGTAGGATGCCTGTCCTAATTGGCTGGCTGTGGAAGAGTGAGTATTTCTGAGCAATCTGATCAGCCCAATAACTACTTGGTTCTGTGGCTTCTGCTTTTAACCTGGAGGCTGGATGGACCTCTGGTCTGAAGCAGTATGGCTGTTCTTGTGCCATACTGTGCCATTGATCCTTTAACTGAATTAGCCATGAAAATTGGTTATTAAGTGATTGAGTTTAGTGTACAGCTGATACCCTGTAGTGGAATATCAGACCAAAGAAGACCATGTAAAGTTATAAGAATCATAGAATCATAGAATTTCTCAGGTTGGAAAAGACCTTGAAGATCATTGAGTCCAACCACAATGTAACTAGAAAAAGGGGAATAAATGAAAAATCTCACTTAAAGGACAAAGAAGGACCAAAGTGGAGAAGGAAGCAGTAGAGTGGTAGGAGTGGGGGATGCGAGAGGAAATCAATTGGAATTCAGACATTTAAAAGAGCTGATCAGTTACTTATGCAGTTTGGTTTCTGAGAACTCAGCTTTGGCTCTTTCAGAGCAGTATAATTATTCTTTTGTGGCAGCCAAGCTTTGGTACATCCATCTTCCAGTCTTCTGACTTCTGTGACAAGAGATTCTTTGCTGCATTTGTGTTCTGCTGAGGCCAAGTTTCCCTTTTTGTTAGCATCTGTGCAGCATCTATTGAGCGTGAAATGGCGTGGCTCATTTGTAATGCATTTTTTACTTGATAGGAAAAAAATAACACTGTGATTAGTTTCTGTTTAACAAGAGCAGATATAGAAGCACTTTCAAAATAAATGTTCTGTACCTGCTAGGGTGCAGAACTTACGCTTGTTTGATTTACTGGTGCTTATTTGAAACAACTGGAAGGGGGTCCAATCTTCCATGTGATCTTCTTTTGGATTAGTCCTAAACAGAGCTCTACCAGCACCTGAGAAGGCTAGCCAGAATTTACTTGGATTGCAGTTTTTCAGAACCCCGTAATTTCACTTATACTGTTGCCTGTTCCTACACAAGATTATCTAGTTTCTCTCTTTGAAGACAGTGATATTTAAAGCCTGCCACTCTGCAATTGCATCGTTTCAGTAAAAAAAAAAGGATAAAACTCTACAGAAACATTTTCACAGTGCTTACAGTATATTGTAAATGGAATACTTCAGGCAACAAAATACTCAATGTTATTGCTCAATGGACGAAATGGATAGTTTGAAGGTGAAAGTACAAAAGATGTGTAATAAAATATTCAGACTATCACAGAACCCTGCTTGTTGGAAATACGATGCTTTCCATCTCGGGACTGATTCTGTGGTATCGTCTGCTTTCTGTAAAACCCTTTCCCCTGGCCACCTGGTTGGTCATCTCTGCAGTATTCCTGCTTGTGTACATGGTGTGCTTTATTTTTCTCTTTGTCTGTGTAGTTCAAAAGAGCCAGCTGAGAATGGAGAGGGATTCAGCATGTGTATGAAATGCAAGTGTTGCTTCAGAAGGGGGTTTTGTATTCAAAGGATGTTTGTAAAAATAGAATGCACCAAGAGGATAGCAAACAGCCTGAAGGTAAAACTAAGTACGCAGAAGATATTTGTAGCAAGAGCCTCAAAAAATTAACTGCAGATAAGTAATGTAATGTTGTTAATTAGCTTGCAATACACCAACCATACAGCCGCAGGCTGTGATCACATCAAATTTCTGAGCTGAACAAGGTTGGACTCAGTCAGTTCTTGGTTGGGAGACCTCCACGGAAAAGACAGAGCTCCTGTGTCATTGAAACACAGAGCTCCCTGGCTCAGTAGGTGGCACCCTCCTCACTGCAAGCACAGAGAGAAATCTCCCCGCAGGGATGCAAAGGGCTAATCTGTTCTGCGCTTCACAGAGATGCTGTAGATGCTTCTAGCTGTTCAGCAAAGGACTGTACTGCTTAACAACGTATGTTCCCATTACTGTTTCAGAGGCAGTAGAGCCAGACAAAAGAAGAGGCATAATAATAATAGCAATATCTGTTGTTTCAGATTTGCACTTGGTGATGGAATTTATATTCCCTGTTGTGGGCTTCTTCCTTACAGATCTGTTTTGGAGATCATACTTTATCCTCCTTCTCAGTGTTACACTTTGCAATGGAGCCAGAGCTCTCCAGAGACTATAGTTAAATAATAGTTAATAGTTAATAAATAATAGCTAATAGTTAAATCACAGAATATTTGGCTTTAAGTTACGCTTGTATCGTGAAACAGGCTTTTTAATTTGCCAAAATAACTTAGTACACAAAAATCAACCTCTTGTCCGAATTTACCTACTGTGCAGTTTCCACTATTTCAGCAGAATTACGCCAAAGCAATGTACTGTAAATAGAAATTCAAGCCATGAGAAACATGTTGTTCCTCTGAGCTGAACAGCTGCCTAGGGGCTCCTATAGGAATTTAAGAGTTGGCTTTCAGCAGAAAGTTTTTTCACCCAGAGGCAGTGGTGAGGCACTGGAACAGGTTGCCCAAGGAGGCTGTGGATGCCCCATCCCTGCAGGCATTCAAGGCCAGGCTGGATGGGGTTCTGGGCAGCCTGGGCTGCTGGTTGGCGACCTGCACACAGCAGGGGGTTGGGACTGGATGAACATTGTGGGCCTTTGCAACCCAGGCCATTCTATGATTCAGAACATTTTCAGTGGATCATATTTTTTTTCCATGACGCGTGGATCCAATGATACTTCACACTTTTTGGCTATTTGAGTACCTCTGTCACCTGGGGAGGTTTTTGATCACCTTCTATTATGATCATTGGATTAATAGAATGGGGGGAGTTTAGACCATGAGTTAGGAGGTCTGGAAAGATAACAAGTATTGTAACTGATGTATGCATCATTTGTCCATGCAATTTTAAAACAAAATATCATCTCTACTCCTGAATTATGATCAGGTGCAACAGTGTGATACCAAAAATGTTTGGGATTGTATGTTTATTAGCTCTGTTAATCTTTTTTTTTTCTTTTTTTTTTCTTATTTTGATTGTTTTTCCTTTATCAGGAGAGAATTCAAGTGGAAAATGGAACTCTTATCATACCGATGCTGAATATGTCAGACTCTGGCCTCTATCAATGTGTGGCAGAAAACAAGTACAATACTATTTATGCCAGCGCTGAATTGAGGGTCATAGGTGAGTAAATGGCAAATAATGGGACACTCTCTTTAAAGATCTGAGATCAAGAAATGGCTAAATTTTACCTGGCAATTCAAGGTTGTTCATATTTTTTTTGCTGCTTGAATTTCACAAACTGTATTTAAATGTTTATTGGTTTCATGGCTGTTTTGGGGGAAATTTCTAATCCCACGTGTGATCTTTTCCAAGTTTAAATAATGCTTCTCACTTTGTATTTTTAGCTATTCATAGCTATTTTGCGGCTTTAAAAATAATTTCAGAAAGTGGGAAAGTTTTAATATTACATAAAGAACATATGGCATATGTATATATAAAAACATAACACAACAAATGATCTCATGAAGAATTACCAGAGATGCACATAAAATGGGATTCTTTCACAAACTGTGAAAAGTATTCCAGTGTAGATATCAAAACATAAAGGCTGTTCTACAGCTAAGTGGCACTGAAAGCATTGAAGCACTGATTTTGGGAGCACCTAGCTCCCAAACAGGTCCAAAACAGGACTTGTTTTCTCATTCTCTGAGAGAATTTCCCCATAGATTACTGGACAGATCTGTGCATAATGCTTTCAGAAAACAGATGAACTGACAGTCACTGAAAAATGGCATTTGGAATTGAATCCTATAAACGCCGTGGATGAAGAGCAGTGACTGGGATCAGGAGTGAGCTCTGTCCCTACTGCTGATGTGGCTCAGGAGCCTGCCTTACCACAGACAGACGTGTTGTCCCAGTCTACAGAGAATCCCAAGGAGAGATGTCACACTGGAGTTAGAATTACTAGAATTACTGAATTCACCTACTGTGTTATTCAAAAGAATCCAGCAAGTTTGTTTAATAACTCATCAGCTGCATTCTGCTCTTCTTTATTCTTAGCGGCAGCCCCTGATTTTTCCAAAAATCCCGTGAAAAAAACATCTGTTGTTCAAGTTGGTGGTGATGTCACCATTGGTTGTAGACCAAGTGCTTCTCCCAGAGCAGCTATTGACTGGAGAAAGGGCCCCGAGGTGCTGCGCCTGAACAAAAGGTACTGTAATAAAGCAGCTGCTGGATTGTTGGGTGTTCTCTGTTTTAATATCATTTAAACATCACCGCAACACAGCTGAGTTAGTATTGCTTTTGACAGCTTATTGATGGAAAGCTTTGATGCCAGAGGCCTATTCTTCTTTAGCAGTAGCCATACAGTCCTGCAGATAGAAAGCTGATTGAGAACAAAGACAAACTGAATACGCTGGGGTAATTGTATGATACATATGTTTGTGTTCATCAGCAGTTGACTTGCTGCAACGCTATTAAAGCCAACTGTTTGCCATGTGCAAAAGCCTGAGTGAATCAGCTTCATGTAGGAGACATCAGTGGAGGCTTCAGGGAAGTGGAACATACCCCCAGGCTGCAGCATAATTGCTTGGCATCTGTACAGGTCGTACAACAACCCATGCCTAAATCATCCTCCATATCCTCTGCCTGTGATGTTCAGGCCGGACTGAGCCACTGCATCAGTATGCCAGAGTGCTCCCTTACACACTGATATGTGGCAACATGGTCTTGTGCAGGGCTTTGCTGACATGGGGTCTGCCCTGGCTAATAGCTGGTTTGTGAGTTGCCACAAACTCACTGTAGTATTTATTACCTGCTGGTATCAATTAAACACTAAAGTATCAAAATTAAAACTTACAGACCTGACTTGTGAATAGCAGGCACGGTGTAAAACAATACTATCCCCACATCTTTCTATTATATTATAGATATAATAAATACTCCTTTTATATAGACATAAAGGCAAATAGGCAGAATAGGCAACGGTGTCTAAGAAGTGAAATCTTCCTCAGCAGCTCCTTCAGTTCACAACTGTAACAGCAACACCATTTTATCACATCATCACTTTCAAAGGCTAAAACCAGAGCTAGTAATTCATAAAGTTCTGGGCATCAAACACCAGATTTTGCAGAAGTACCAGTTGTTCAAAGATGCTACTTTGGGTCACATATGGAATATGACTTCAGTTCTTTAAAACAACTTTATCTCAAACTGTGATGCAAGGAGGTATTTTTCTATCCCATACTGCTGTGGTGTACAGTGCTGATAAAAGTAAATTTAAGCTGTGTGCAAGAAAGTGCAAAGTTGAGGAGAGATTTCACGTAGGCACTTGCAGCAAAACAGAAAAAACTGGGCAAGCAATCTGTGCTAGAGAATGTAGAGAAATTTCCAGTGGTTTTTCCATCTCTTCAATAATACCAGTTTTATTTTCTATTTAACTACTCAGCTATTAACTAAGAATACTTTTCTAACTAGATATTCCTATTTGCATTTTGATTGCATGGTCTATCTGACAAAAATGCCTGTTCTTTCCTATTGGATGTGGTCTACCACAGTATACTGCATGCTCACTTATGCAGTTTGCAGTGAGTAAGCTCTGAATTTTCTGATGTCAGGCAACAGGAGTGAGGAGAGCATCATCTAAAACTTGCAATTCAAATCACTGAATTAAGCGTAGACCTTGAAGTTCCAGCACCATGATATTCCCCATCTGATCTACTCATAAAAAATATTCACATCCTGTGTACAGTATTTACTTATACTCCTGTATTAATTTACTAACAATAATTATAAGCACGCTGTAATTTTTAAGCATCCCATAAGGCCTTTGCTGCTGAGCAAAAGTAAACAAAAGGAGCAGGATTTGCACTGAAGTGAATGGGAGGATTTTAGAACACTCCATGTGCAAAGCATTATTGCCTTTGTGTCCACTGGTGCGGGGTAGAATTTGAGGCTTTGGGATTATTAAATGCCAAAACAGATAATGCCACAGCTTTAGAGAAGGTAAAGTAAATCATCTGTATGGTGCTTTTCACAGGCATCTTTGTGATAGAAAGAAGAAATGAAAAGAGGTTTTGTATGGCTGTAATTCCTCTTCACAGCTAATTAAAGTACTAAAATCACATGTCTTTACTCATAAAAACAGAGAGAACCTGCTTTGACTTACTTGTGTGTATGATTAAATCCTGCCATGTCACCTACAGACGCACTGTTTTAACTAAACCTTTGCTTATATCAGTTCTCATGTTATGCAGCACTTATAATCTCCGTGGATTCCTCTTCTAGCTTTTTTTTTTTTTTTTTTTTTTTTTTTTTAAGTCAGGTTGGGCTATGTATGCTGGAGGGAAAAAGAAAGAAAATACCAATCCCACATGGTTCTGACAGCAGAACTGTGATGGACACGTTGCAAAATAAGTCAAACCCCATAGCTTCCTGGGAATGACTTGGACAAATGTGATCTTTTGTTACAGAAATACTGCAACTAGTCTTGTTTTGCCCTAAGGGGAAAAGGATATTCTTTCTTTTTCACCTTCCTCCTTCCACTTGTAATAGTTTATTTGTGATGGTTTTGGCATATATGATCACAGCTCTGTATGATCCTATGAGCTCTTAAAGCAGTGTTATCTTGTAATATTATATTAATGTCAGTTTAAGTACGTAAGTAGAAATGTGCTAACTAGGAAGAGTTAAAAAAAACATCCATCCTATGAATATAAGCACTGTGAAATATTTTATACTTGATTTCCTCTTTGTTTGCCAAGCTGCAGAGCTTGGTGAAGTTCCTCAGCCTACAGCCCCTTTTCTTCCCAGAGCAGAGACAGCTTTCTTCAGCCCCACTTCTCTTTCCCATCTTCTCCGTAGCTCAAAAACATCTTTGCCCAGATCTTCTTTTGTGCTCTTGCTTATACCGAATACTTTATTACCTTTGAATCATGTACAAAAATCCTTCAAAACATTCCCACATGAATAAATTTTCACGTTAGATGGCAAAGCAAACTAACTGTACCTCTATCAGATCTGCTTCCTGATCCTTATCTGATTAAGTACTCTATTTCAAGATTCTCTAACATAATTGAAATCCACTGTCAGGAGTCAGTCCCTGAATGGTGAGGTTTATCCTTGCCTCATGCGGCTGGCTGCTTTAGAGACAGAATTTGAGGTTATCAAATACCAGAATCAAAAGGAAATCCTGCAGCTGACTAATCCAAGCTCTTTCTACCTGCTCTCTCCTTCCTGTGATCCCCAACCTGCTCCTCTGGATCATGCCAAGCTGTGGAGTTTGACACAGGTGTGAGCTGTTTTGATGTTAGCTATTCTCAGTAAGTCCAAAGAGAGTTTTCTTCATCTCACACCTCACTGCTATCATCTCACATGTCCACTGAGGAAAACTAGAGAGAAAATACATAATGGGAGAACAATTAATGTATTAAACACAGCAAATTTTCTAGTCTAGATACTGATCTCATCATGAATGCTTGTCTTATTAGCGCGGTTGGTGGGAGCCTCATGGCAAACATATTCCTGAAAAATTCTTTTTGATTGAAGCATTTTAATAAACGAGAATTGGAACCCTACGTACTTACCAGGGAGAGGTGCTATTCCCTCAGCATGAGATGAGGATCCCCAAACACTGTAGTGAATGCATATAAACATATGATTCACTCCACTCAGAATTTAAATGAAGACTGCTTAGGGAAAACAGAGAAATGAGGTAGGCTGAAAAAATGCATTAGTCATATACAGCGCTTTCCATGCATTAATAATCAGTAATAAGCAAATATTCATAATTTAAATCCTTTCCTGAGGACTGGGCAAGAAGTACGTCAATAAAATATGCTCAATACTTGTTGGCTCCAGGTCTCGTGTGCAGGACCACGCTCAGCCATATCTCAGTGAAGGATGGTAATTGATTCTTGGCCATAAGTAAAGCTGCTCTACCCTGGCATATTCCCTTTCCCATGCCATACTTGCTGTTGGTTTTTTGCATTCAAGTTATTGGCATTTCTCAAAGGAAATATGGAAGAATGGTTGAAACAGCTGAAATGAAAAGCTGCGTTGAGAGAATTTTATGTGATTCTGAGCAGATATTGTGGCTGGAGCCTACCATTATGAGGGCAGAAAGATGATCTGCTAATTGCTGAGGTCTTATAGCTGCCTCTTGGAGGCTCAAGCTGGGGGGACTCTCCTGCTTTCAGGTGAGATGTGGCAACCCAGCAAGTTGCATTAGCTGAAAGGTTGGCTCCTCTCATAGCCGTGTGCTGCATCTGAGATGCTTGTGAGTCTCTTGAGCACAACTGCTCTTCTTCAGACTTTCCAGTGTGCCCAGCTGCTGTCTGCTGTTGTTCTTTTTTGCTACTCTACTGTTGAGAGTCAGATCCCCATCTCAAAAATCCATATGTATATAAGTATTTTTAAAACTTTTTTGGTTATTTGCAAGAAAGAGAATAAATAAAGGCTGTCTTCTTGTGGGCTACTGTTGGAATTAGAGAAAGGAGGATTTAAAAAAATGAGGAAAACTAATTGGTAAACATGAGAAGTCCTCAATCTACTGCTCAAATACTACACACAAAGCATATTGTACTGTGAAATAGCATTTCAGCTTGAACCAATTTGAGAAGAAATGTGTCAGGGTAGTTCAACAAACTGCAATGAAACATTTCAATTACCAGAATGTCAGCATTGTTTGTTTAGCTTGTATCGAAACCTTCCAGAATATCCATTATTTAAAAAAAATAAATAAATAACAATCCTGCTTGGGGAGGAATCATGACAAAATGGATTGAAAATTCCAAGTTTTGCCGCACTCTACTAACAAAGGAGGAGATTGATGTTACTTAACTTTTATTTAGCTGAAGTCAATATGCAGTGTAAGGTAGTTATTTACTTTTTCTTGGCAGGCACCTCCACCTCAAATGAGATGCCAAACTTTTAGATGAACAAAGCTGGGGAATGAAACATCCACAGTGTTTGAAAAAAAAAGAGTGTGCACTGAAGTCATACCAGTTGCACAGTACAGACAAAGAGAAGCTTTGCTTGTTGTGCTGCTTAGTGCCACAAACCTGCCCTGATTTATGCACTCATTGTTTGCAGATAAAGGTAGTGCAGACATTTATATGCTAGTAGCAAGTTTTACATGCACCACGTTTTCTTCTACTATTCCAGCACTTAGCATTCTATTCCCAGCTTTCTACATCAATGTGGCTAGATGAA